GCTTTAAGGTTCCGAGTCTTGCTGTTTTTTTGAGGGTTTAGGACTTTCGGATTGAGGATTTTGAGGATGTTGGGCTGTGCAGCTTTGGTGCAATATGGATTGGAAGGTACCTGCTTGGGACTGGACTGTGCAGAGACCTGTCCGACAAGAAGCCGGAGCTTGTAGTGACATCAGGGGAGCCGCTGCATCAGCTGCCATTGCCTGTTTTACTCGTTGAGCGCATCGAGGTTCACACTGCTCATGTGGGAGACTCCCGAGCTATCGTGGTCGCCTGCTTGCACACAGCAGGGCATGGTCAGAATGCTGGTAGGTACGGTACGGGCATCGATCTTTCTTGATCGGCTCTGCACAGATCCAGAATCAGCACGAAGCATGGCATGGTCCAAGGCACGATTATCGGATGCGGCAAAAGGTGGCAAGTGCTTCATCGCCTCAAACTCACAGCCGGCCGTTTGCTCCGCTTGATAGGACGCAATGGCACAGTCCACTTATATTCGCATTGCGATCATCCGCAAAGGTCAAAGAGCTGACCAAGGATCACCGGCCTGACGATGAGGGAGAGGCGCGAGGGCTCCATGGTCCGACGACGGCGAAGCCCATCCGAAGGATGCTTTTTGGTCGACGCTCCGAATTTGCCGGCAGTGTGGGAAGTCTCTAACAGTGCTTCCTCCCATCTCCTCCACTCTGACTCAGAGGACCTCCTGTCCGATCCTTTCCTGCGCGTACCTAAGCGAGGCCCAGCGGATCAAAGATGCCGGAGGGCACATCTGCTTGGGCGGCGGCAAGCGGGCCGGGTTCTTCTGTCAAAAGACCATGAGAAATCAAAAAAGCCAACTCTAAGCCTGGCCTCGCTTTGACTGAGGCGAGGGTCATTTGCGAGTCCGTGCCCGGCCATCCCGGCTTTGCGCCTCCTGGCTCTGCTCATTTTTTCCACCGGTTGGGGCAAGGCTGTCCAAGGCCACGCGTCATTAGGGTGGAAGGTGCGTCGAGAAGCGATCGCTTCCGGTGTCTCGAGGCCTCGGTGCCCAGCTCGACTGAGGCTGACTCGCTCCTTGGGCCTTGCCATTGGCCGCGACTGTGGCATCAGTGCTGAGCCACAGGCCGGGAAGCTTTGTTCGGAAAAGCAGGCGTGGTCTCGTCACATTGTGTCATGGCAGGTTTTTTCTCACCACATGCCGGCTGACGCAGAAGCCCTTCTCATCTTAGGCCGGGTCAGTAAGACAGTTTGACTGTGACTGACCGACAATGTGCAAGATGATCTAAGTGATCATCTGAGGTATTTGTAGGAGTTTTTGCCAATTCGTTGAGTTCGAGCGCTAGCCGAAATCATATAACAACTTGCCGACTTCAGCTAAAAGTCCAAGTCATGTCCTTGCCCTTTCATTTCTCCCAGGAACAGACGGCTTGTTCGAGTTCTGCGGAAGCCGGGCCGGCCTGTTGCTTCCAGAGGACGCCCCAACGTGTCTGCTCTAGCTCTTTGTTCGTTGTCAGTTCTTGAGGCTCGTTTGCCAGCGCTCATTAAGTAACAGGTGCTTCTACTTTGTGCAAGCATGTAAACTTCCGATTCAGGGCCACCGGCTGCACATGCTGTGTTCTGCTTCTCCACGCCAGATCGGACAGTGGCTGGACACTTGTTGAAGCATGGTGTCACAGAGCGGGCGCTAGAGGAGGCGGACTTAATCCGCTACGTAGACCAATTAAGCCTGCCACTTGCCCGCCAAGTCGAGCTGCTGCAGGTCGTTCATGAAGCAATGAAGTTATGGTCTGCAAACTCCTCGAACAGCACAGTGGTGCGGGGCTCGACACCCATCAAGTCAGATTGGTGAGGCGCAGCTGCAGCGCCCTTGCCCTCATTCACAGACCCTTGCTGCAGGATGATGCCACAGCCATAGCAGCCTCCCTGGGCCGTGTGGAGGGACACAATAAATGACAGCTTTTGCTGTTTGAGCGTGGCACTTTGAGCGTGGCACACCGCATGCCGGCATTCTAAGCCGACTCGTCGTTCACCATTGTTCAAATCCTCTTTGGGTTCAAGTCGGCTTCAGGCAGGTGGCAGCGGTTGGCGCCGGTTGTTGGGGTGTTTGTTTCCTCGGAGCCATGCAGGTGTGCCAATGTCAGCACACTGCAGGCTGTAAATGTACTCAAAGACAGCATGGATGATGCCGGGCAGTTCTTTGGCTTCGTGATCATTCTGGGAGTGTTGAAACATGTGTTGCGTGCCGATAGACTCACCCATGCTGATGGTCCTACTTAGACTTAGACTCGGTCCAGGCCAGAGGAAAAGCTGGAGCACAATAGGAACGATGGCTCGCGGTGCAGCTTCTGCACACCGGCTGCTACTGTCATCGCCTTCCCAGTGTACGTGGCTCAACAGAGGAACCAGCTACAGCGCTTAGCAGTCCTGCGGGCAGCCCAGACACTGCTTCTAGCTTCTAGCTGCAGACTTCGTGGAGTTGCTTGTGCGCACCATGTTGAGACTCTGATGGTATGATGGTTTGGCGCCAGCCCTGGCTTCCTTTGCTCTGGGCGAGACGTCAGCGGCCAGACTGCAATCAGGTCGTCAAGTCATCTCGTGTCCATCTCGCATCTTAGTCTAGACGAAGCTTCATGTCCCGACCCAGGCAGCTTCAAAGCAAGGGCGGCCTGTCTCACCTCGTAGCACAACAAAGGCGCTGCAACTTCGAAGAATCTTTTGAGTGCTGGCCAGTCGCACACTTAGACAGCGCCTGAGAACTGACGACAGACAGGTGCCTAGCGGTTCCTGTGGCACAGCCACGTTCCGATGAAGGCTAAGAGATTTCGGGGGGTGATTTGCGCGTGCAAAAGAGAGCCTGTTGGGGATTTCTGGCATGGTCCCATTTCCTGTTGGGGCGGCCAGCTAAAGTTTTGCATGCGAAGGCTTGCAGGCTTCACCTGTGCTGGACCTTACGACGAAGAGCGTCGTGCGAATCAGCAGAACATTGACAGTCGGCCAAGTGGCAGGACTCGATGTGCATGGCAACATAGCAGAGCTGGGGGGGAGAACGGCACCTGCAGGAGCCTTGCTACAAACACAGCCCTTTTTGCAGTCGAGCAAGGGGCGGCTCATCTTGGAGGCGATGGCGTGCGAATGCGGAAGTGTGTCGCACCACGACCTCTGTCACTTCATGCTGCTCTGCCTTAGCTTCTTGACTGGAAATGCAGGCGGAAAACGATGCTTCCTTGAGCGTGGCTTTGAATGCCCTGGCCTTGTGCAACAGGCGGGGAGCAGAGCTTAAAGTGCGCATCATTCGGGCCGTCTTCCTAAACAACTCAATCTAACCACTACTCGTACCGTGGCACGGCTGGAGGCGACTGTCCAAAGCTGCAGCGAAGCAGCGAATCGCCTTCGTGCCTGTGGTTCGCGTCTTCCGATACCAGGAGCCTGGCAAGGAGTCGCCACGGGGTCCTGTGACACAACGGAAGCAGTAACCACTTGCAACTTGCTCCAACTGATGTCTGCGTCTGCAACTTTCCAGTTTGGTGCATCCGCACACGTAGGCTGCAGTGCACCTGCGCCGCGCGATGCAGCTCCTGCTGCATGCCTGGGACGCTGCAAAAGTCGTGGTGGTGCGGCGGAAGATTGCACAGGCGGCTCCGGATGTTGCCGCTCGAAGAAGCATCGTGCATGTCCATACTTCCGACAGTTCCGAACATTCTTCCGCAACCTTGAGCTGCTCTAAGGTAAGTGTGAGGGGAGATACAGATCTGAGACGCTTGAGTGGCCTGGTGCAGTCACGCTTCCAGCAATCCAGCGTTGGGATTGAGGTCTCTTGACTAACTACTGAACGCTTCAGAGTCCAGCCGGTTACAATCACGCCTCGTTCGTCATTGGTTCAGCCGTAATCGTGATTCCAGAAGCGAAGCTTGAAGACACGCAGGAACTTGTGGTCGTTCGGTCCATGGGGAGCCAAGCCATCGGCAAAATGGTGCCTCGACTTGGTTCTGTTTCAAGATGCTGGAACCATGGATCTCCATGTCGCATGTACCGTACAGCCCCCAAGATAGAACACTGAGCGAAGTGCGCTGCGTTGCAATAGGTCAAGGCTCTGGCCGCCGCGTGGCAGCGCTGCGCACGCACTCACGAAGGCCATCTGAGCGAGGCTGGCAGGGGAAGAGAACCCGGAGCAAAACATCATAAAATATCATAAAACACATCTGTCGGGTTTTCCGTTGGGCCGAAAGGGCCGAAAGACTTGTTCCGAAGCGTTGCAGTGAGCAGCAAGTCAATGGCTTTGTCATTAGTGTGACGCCGTCATCTAAATGCAGTTTGGGATTCCGCTGGATTTGGTTGTCGGTCGGAGAAAGGAGGAGACCCTACAAACCAGGGATTTTACTAGGCCCGCCAACAGATTTTGTCTCCGAGGCCGGCTTCCATTGTTACATCGAGCATCAGCGCACACTCAGCTGCGAGAAGCTCGTCTACAGCGGTGTTGAGTGCACGCTGCTGCCTGGATCAGAAAGAGCCGACGTTGCAGAAGAATCCAAACCTTGCAACTGCGGAGCAGTCTTTTGCTGGTCCTTTGACAATGATGATGCAGAATGGCTTGTCATACGGAGCGCAGGGTCATTGCAAGTTTGTGGCTAGGTCTGTTGATGAAGCCTGTGCTGACGCAAACTGCGCTCGCAGCAATCTAGGTTTTAGCTCCGTTTAGGACAGCAGCTGGTCAGCACATGCCGGCAACTGTGCCGCTTTGCATCACTCGAGAGTCCTTTGCACCTGAGCTTGTTCATCAGAAGCCCAATCTGTGCACAAGATGCTCGACCCCGCTCGAGATTACACGTACACATGATTATACAACAGCTCAGTAGGCCCGTAAGCTGCAGTGCAGCCGATAAGACGCTGGCAGCACCGTGCTGAACTCAGACCTACGAATCGACGATATCTCCATGCATTGCAGGTCCAGTGACCACTTTGCCGCACTACTCATGCTCGAGGTGTTTTGGCGTGTGACTGTTCGGGCGCGATGGCTGCTGTAGCGATGGTCGATGAGGACAAGGTAAGTCATGTGTGCAACGAATCGCCTTGTGAGTGATTGTCATATGAGAATTTGATAGCTAGACCGCATAGAGTGCCGTGATTGTGCTGCCAACACACTTCACAGAAGCTTTCCTTGTAGTGGATGTGCAGCTACGAATCCTTGTTGGTGGTGGCACCTTGAGGAAAAGGAGCGCGTAATGTCGCTGCCACAGCTGCAAAATCTCATGAAGAGGGACCCGGAGGTGGGGCCTTCGTCGTCAATGGTCCATGTTCGAGGATTCCCCAGTCAACTGTTCCGATCGTCTTTGTTTTGGAGGCGTACTCAGTAGAGTTCGACCAACAGTGGTCCGTGTCCTAGACCTTCCCTCGGCATGCATGGCATGTCTTGACTGGGCAGCGCCGTGCAAGGTCCCACTTCGATAGCCAGATGGAGATCTTCAAGCTGAAGCCACAGAAGCCCTCGAGCTCTTTTGCGGAACAGGCGCAGTTCGCCTGGCAATGCGACATGAAGGCGAACTCCCTACTCGCAGGTGATGTTCCTGGCCCATGTGGCTCCGAGCTTTCCAGACCGGGCCAAGGCGACGGGAACGTCTGTTCCAAAGTCTCATGTCGACACCGCAATGGGCCCATGGGCACCAGATGCTCGAAGGCCTTTCCAGACCTTCTGATCAGTGGTGAACCGAGCTTTCTCCCAAAACAGCGACTTTGCGCAGTCCTCCAGAGACCTATAATACCGTCGAATCAGGTGCATTGAACGACCACTTCGAAGTCATGCACAGCAATATGCGGACAACGCTCGTGCAGGCAATCTACTGCACCTGCGTGTTGGATAGATAAGACTTACGATAGCAGGAACATACTGTATTTAACTTCTCGCTCAGGCCCTGATTCTGCTTCGCAACCGGAATCAGCCCGCCGCTCACGCTCCTTTTCTCCGTCGATCCTGGGTTTCGATTCTTATTGCCCTCCTAAGGTTTCCGTGCAGCAAGACGCTGCCGGTATATTTCAAGCTCTTCAAGTCGCAGGCGTTTCAAATTGGCATTCATCCCTCATCAAGTGGGGGGTTGTCCGAAAATTTCTGACCCTTTAGGGTATCCCATGCCACTACCCCTTGTAGTCTTCGTTGCTGCCTTTAGGGACCATCAGGGTGCCATACTCTGCAAGAGCCCTCCAAATGCTGTTGCAACCCAATTTATGATGTCCGAGTGCATCGACATGCAGGACAAAGGTTTGCGAAAAAGCATCTTCACCCACATCGTGCGCGACATTGCGCACATGAACCAAAAGTCCAAGAATCAGAAAGTCGCGCTCTCAGGTAGAAGCTGAGGGCGAGAAATTTGGTTGTGTCATGCTTCAACTGCCTCCTTGCATCTCGTGGCAGCTCTCAATGTCCGGGCTCGCACCTATTTGTGTCAAAATTGTTGAGTCGTACACCTATGCCACTATGCTGCAGCCTCCTGACACTGCCGGGCCATTGCAACACGTCTATGTGAAGTTGGGTTATCGCGTTGCTTTGTTGCCACCATACAATGCCGCTCGGCTATGTTGTATAGGTACTTAGTCACTATACTCGTAAATCCAGGTACCATCCGGTTTAACAAAAGTATCTACATGTTGAATATCGCTAAATGTTTGCATATTTCTACAGGACAGTACGACGAGGTCGTTGCGACTACTACCTAGCAGTGCTAGTGAACTACTACATGGATTCAAATCAAAATACCAGGCGACTATCTGCCACGTGAGCACGAAGGTCAACTTCGAGCTGCGTGACTTTTTCTTCGCACGGCTGAAGGAATCCGAGACCGAGGTACCTGGACGTTCACGGCGCAAGCGCACATAAGAAGCCTGGTAGACGCATTCAGAACAACACAAGGTGCAATGAGGACACTGATGGTAGCAGCGTTGAAGGGCACACCCCAGGTAAATCAATGGCAGAAAGGCTGCTGACAAAAAAACGGCCCTTGTTGTATTGTAGTTTTAGTACGTAGTTGGTACAGACATCAGTATGACTGGAAGCAATCAGCGAAATTATCATAGTAATGTTCGCAATAGCAATAGCAACAGGCTTGGGGTTTGGGGTTGTGGAGCTTCGTGGAGACAAGAACCGCAACAGTGCGGCCTATCGCGCAAAAAACACAAAGATGTGACAGTGACAGAAGTATACTGACGTATTCTGACATAGCGGGGCAAGTTAATCGAACTACAACGATAGAAAGCAGAATGAATAAGGGTATCACGGTACAGCCTCGCAGTGGTGCTCGCCCAGCTGGTACATAACTCGAAGCCACTGTAGGCGGATAGTAAATGGCGATGCCTGTCCTCAGCCTGTGCAGGTGTGCCGGCATGCGTGTGCTGTCTTCATTACCATGACACTGGGCTGCATGGTGTCCGCATCGGCCCGGCGCAACAAGCTTTCCAATGGAACCGCGACTGATATACCAACGGCGCGAGATACGAAGCAGCGGACTGCTGCAACCCGGGGTCTCCTGAAATCCATTTTCGAAAAATGTTCATTGGCAACTTCATTCCGATCCTTCCCACTGATGCCCCGAACAACATGCGGAACGACTTGCTTCTTTCAGCTTGCCGCGCCTATATGCGCATGAGCGTAAGGTACCGACAAAATGTTAGATCCTCAGATGTTGCCGACGCACGAGTCTTGGCTGCCGCTTGCAGTGAACAAGTACTGAGGTCTGGTGCGACACACATGTGGCCAACCTCATGAGCAGGGTCCCCAGCGGGTTTGGCTCCAGTTAGTTCAGTCCAACGCTTGTTGCTGAGGTGCCGGGCTGCTGCATCCTGATTTGAAGATCGCAGCTGTGGGAACCCTGACAACTTTGCCTCGCGTGCTCCTGCACAGAACCGTCCTCCAAGGCATTGGCACACTTATTCCTTGGGAACAAGACCAAGGTGGAGTGAATCGGCGGTTCGCAGCCTCGAAGCCCAACGATGAGTTTGCACCTGGCAGGGACTTGAGGGCATCCTCGACGAGAGTGACGACGAAGAAGAGGACGACAATATCAACGAGGCCCGTGCGCAGGTAAAAGCGGGTCCTGACTCTGCGGTGTCCTGAGTTGAATTAGTTTGCTTCCCAAATGCAGGCCGTCATGGGCATTGTTGGTGCCAAGAAGACGGGCAACAGAGTGAAGAGACTGAAGAGGGCCAAGAAAGTGCCTCGGATGCAAACCGACCAATCAATTGCCATGCTGCAGGGTTCGGCATCAGCACCCTATCTTGCTTCAGGCTGCCAAAAAAGCAGCGCGCGACTTACTCCATCTCGATGTGACATCTGTGAGCTCATCCGAGATCTGTTGTTGTTTCTACCTCCGTCGGACATGTCGCTAGCCGGGCAGGCGAAAAAAAACGGCAAGAAGGACAACTCAGCCGTGAGCTTCGTTGCCATTGCTGGAGACTTAGTGCATTCTGATCTGTGCGTCCAGACAATGCTAAACTGCTACAGCTGCCCTGAGGATTTACTAAATGACCCGCAAACTCTGGCCGAAAAGCTGCTGCAGCGCTTGAGCAAGGTGCGTTGCCTCTTTGTCAGCGATGTAGGCACTGGGTCGCCGTGTAAGTGAAGGTGCGAGGTTTGTTCATGCCTTTTTTCGCCAGGGCGGCGAGCCCTTCCTGTTTCGACTGCTGATGCTCCACCTCGTTGCCAGGCAGTGTCCGGGGCATTGCAAGGTAAACAGCAGGTAGTAGAAGAGTCGAGCCCAGCAGAGGGATGTCAGGAGGTGCTCACCGCAGAATCCAAAAGCTTAAAGCCGCGAATAGGGTGCCCCTGCCGCCAAGCCCTAAATCCGAAGCATGTGCCTCTCGAACACCGCGAACATTTAGAGCCCAAGGCCCGGTACCTCGAGCCTTGATCCGCTCTGCCTTGAAACATTAGAGTCGAGCTTCTCGGGCACGTTCTGCATGGATCAGGTTAATCGGTCGGCATCAACTGCAGGTTCTGAACTTATATCCGCCCCTTGGCAGCATCCAGTTCCTTCCCAAACTGGAGCACTTAGTTTGGAATTGGGCCGGGTCATGGCTCACATGCGGTGTCATGAAGATTGTTACAGGGATTGATGAGGGAGGGCAGTCAAGCTGGTTGACCCAAGATCTCGGACGTGCTTGTTAGAAGCTGGCCCCCAGACTTGCGAAGGTTCTTGCAGAAGTACTTGGCTGCCGTCTCAGCTAAGTGCAGAAGCCACAAAGGAACTAGGTCTCAATCGGTCGGAGCATGACTCGGCCAAAGGTCCCAACACAGAAGGAGGTTACCAAAGTGATGGCTGCCTTGGTAGAGGTGCTTCAGTGCCCCAGCAAGGGCCACCGTGGAATTTTGCATCTATTGCCAGGCATCGCATCCGGCTGTGCCACCTGCCAGCCTGGCTCGTCACAAGCTGGTAGCACGTCGCAATGTTATTCGGGGCATCATCAAGTCTAAGTGCTTTTTGCCAGGACGACGTCCGACCGGTTATCTTGCACATAGCAGCTCCCCTACACAGTTGCTTTGCGCGGCCTTTGGCAATTTGAAGTGCATTCCGCCCTGAGACAAGACAGGACTAAGTACGTTTCGTGTCTACCCACTCTATCCTTCAGAGTGGTGTTTGGGATTCTGTCGGCTCACCAGCCCACATGCTGCAAGACCACCAGATCTTCGGGAGCTGGGTGATGATTAAGATACGTAAGATGTACATCCACCGTGTTTGAGCCTGCAAGGTTCGGTACTTCGTCACGGAGGCAAACTCTCCTGAGATCATCGAAGTTGGTGGCAAACTTATCCTGTGTGATGCGGGATGCCTGGCATGCCTGGGTCGCCTGAGGCTTGAACACGATCCGAGAAGTGTGTGCCAGGCAGGAGTCTTCCTCGTCCATGCACCGCCATACTGCAACTTTCGCAGAATCACCAAAAGGTCCATCAACATACTGACCGAAGACGAGTTGCAACCTTAAATGCTGGATTTCTCTGGACAAGCTGTCAGTTGTGCTAGTTTATTCAAGCTCTTCTTCTCGAAAGGGCCATTGGCTGCTGTGTAAGGCTGGCCGATCTTTGCAGCTTCCGGAAGCACAAAAACAAAGGCCATTCCGCAACGCTTGCAGATGCTGGCAGCCTCAGCGCGGCTTCGTCAAGTGCTCGTCTCGACTTTATGTTGAGCCAGGAGTATCAATGGCAGCAGCTTGCCCAGCACTGTGGAAGTGGAAGTCTTGGGTGTGAGAGACGATAGCCATCTACAGGGGACAACAGCTTTCTCGGTTTGCCGGCAGATGGCACTGGCACTCGTCATGGACTCTCGCAGAGGTGAAGAGCCTCATCAACACCTACCGTGAGCTCTGACCTTGGACGTAAGGGGCAAGGGAGATCTTCTTCCCACTTACGGCAGACTTCTCTTCAACGCCCGAGCCACTGTGGACCGATGCCGTGTCGATGCTGAAGTAAACTAAAGCAGATGAAAGAGACAGGAACATCCTTATTCCTCATCTGAAATACAGACTCGTTCGCTTCGCACCGTCGTTGTAAAACTAAACCGATACTTTCGCATCTCAAGCTTCTGGTATCCATCGCCATATTCACGTGTATCTCATGTTGTCGTGCCGGCTGGATGGGCTGTGGCTTTCGGAAGCAACAGACACTTGAGCTGAACAACTTAACTTAAATCGGACTCTGCATCGTTTCAGAAATCTAAACGATGGCGCACTTCGCATCAAGGATTCAGGTGACTGCCTGCTGGCGTCAAGCAGCTCTTCGTTTGTTTTCCGGCTTCAGGCTTCATCCGCAGCTTCTACACCGCTCACTACGTGGTCGAGAAGCGACGATGGCCGTCAGCGTGGCCCCTGAATCTACGGCGGGCTCAATCGGATCTTGTGACCGGACCAGGAGGGTAGGGCAGTCAGTCTGCAGCAGCCTGGTTTGCATGGTTTTGGTGTGGTGCAGAACAATGCCTTTGAAGCCAGTGATGCCAGCCAGATACTGGCAACCCGAATCCTTTTGAGGGTGTTTGATTCCTAGGCAGAGGGGAAGTGCAGACCCCACAGTTTGGCGAGCTCCAGGCAAGAGACAGCGTTGCACTGCAAAAAGATTTGGCTCATGCTTGGCAGCTTCGAGGCATCGGAGCAGATCGAAGGGCTTGACCTCCTTGCGGCATCCAAGAAGCACAAGGCCTTTCCGACGGCCTTGATGTGTTCCTTAACACTATGGCACAACGTGGTAGATTAGCTACGTGCTGTGTCAGCAGCGCGCCATGGGATTTCAGAGCACATTTAGCTTCTAAGTTGAAAGGTCGCATGTGACAGACATGCCGGATGGACAGAGTCGTTGCTGAACACTCGCCTGGCAGGTGGAAGATGGGACTGCTGCAGACGCGCTGCGTCCTTGAGTTGTCTATTTCAGACAGCGAGTTGCGCTCCCATCATTCGGAGAGGTTTGTTTTGTCATGGCCATGACATGCATGAGGAAAGATCTCATGACCGAGAAGGCTCGCAGGGGGTACGCATACATCCATCCAGCCGGCCATCCACGCATCTACGCATGCCTGCCTGCCAAGACTCGTACCTACACACATACACATGCACACGCACACACACACACACCACATGCACATTCATGCACATACGCATACACATACACATACACATACACATACACACAAACATGCGTGCGCACAGACATTCATTCATTCATGCATGCCTGTATGCATGCATCCATGCATGCGAACATACGCAAATACATACATACACAGCGCGCACACACACAGGTGCACACATACATACATACGTCCTCACATACGTATGTGCATGCATGCATGCATGCATGCGTGCGGACCTGCACTATAATGTGATCTGACATAGGTGCGTCCCAGGCCTCGGGGTGCATGCACAAGTTTGCCATAAGACTCGAGCGAATCCGAGAAGCAGACCCCGTAGACGCTGAAACTTGTTCGGGGAGCTGATGCGCCTGTTGCATGCAGCAATTCAGACCACACATGCTGCTCATTTCTTGCCGAAACTGCCAGTGAGACATTCCGCAATCATGAAACCACCAGCAAAGTTGGGAGGTCTTGAGCCCGGACGACTTCAAGCAGCTCCGAAAGCTTCGCCTGCAGAAGTCCATCGAGCGCCCTGACCGCTTACAGGAATTTGGAATCCTTGGGTTTTGCTTCTTGATGCCGACGTCCGAAGCATCAGACCTAACTTCTGAATTTAGGAGTCAACATATCCTTCCGATTCTGGGAAGCCCCGCAGGCTCCAAATGGGCCGCAAACGACCAGCGGAGGAGTCGCTGTACTGGTAGTCGGTAGTGCTCGTCGCAGTCACGGCATGGCCCCAGGGACAGGTAGAGTCGTACCCAGCTGCGTGCCATCGCGAATCTCGGAGCCTGCTAGGAGATGAGCTCTTCTTCTAACTCCGGCAGTGCGATGCTCGAGTTTCCGTGACAAGAGCAGATTCTGCTTTGGGTCGCAGCTGCAGCCTAGGCTTGGGGCAGGGCAGTGGCCGGGTTGAGAGTTCGGGTGGAACCAGGCGATTCCGATGCTGATGCAGAGGAGGACGAGCGCGGGCTCACAGGCGACCAGAAGCGTGTGCGGAAGTGTGCAGTCAAGCGTCCAGTTCAAGCGGCTAAGTTAAGTCAGACTACGGTTTCTGCAGCTGTAATGCATCTTCCCTAGATGTTGTTGGCCCGAATCGGCACTGGAAAGGCCGTCTGCCGGACCAAGTTTCTGGAGACATGCTCGCTGCTGCACCAAAAAGGGCGCCAGCACCTGAGTACTGCTGTCGCATGGATCTGAGCCTGCGCAGCCTCACATTGCATAGGTAAAGGTCGGCCCTGGCCTCCCTTTCTGACACGGAAGTGAGCACGAGGTAGGCGTGAGGTAGTGGCACGAGGTTCCATAAGCCACGGGTAAAGGGGGAGGAGTCAGAAATCTCTTCACGGCTTGACGGTGTGTGTCAGCAGCCGTATTCGGCAGACGAGAGGCGTACCAAAGCAGAACGCCTCGCCAGGGTGCGTATCTCAGTAAGTCTTGCTTTGCCGCTTCTCGCTGTCTGTGCACTGAAATAAATGCTACAGCGAACAAAATATCGCGGCTCGCCTAAAAGTCCCTTGATAATCGGGCCATCTGTTCGCACAGCCGCTTGTTTCGTCTACCAGGTTAGGCTCTGCTACATGCATGATCCCGGCTCGAGTTCTTGCAGAAATCACTAGAGTCACTAGATGTGCTCCGTGACGAGAGCCGACTCAACACAGCTTCTCAGACAACACTGTCAATCAGACGCATATCCCGCTGTCAGCACACTTATTCAATGTATCGAGTATTGAAGGTCTTGCAACTTGGAATTGTCCCCGGAAGGCAAGTAACACAGGCCAAGCCGAAGCCGCAGAAGCAACAACTGCTGGTTGCTAGTTCTTCAACACGAAAGCCACAAGCGCGGATGTTTTATCGTTTGGTCTTCATTCTGCTGGCTGCCTTCGTGCCTTGCATGCAGCTAGCGTGCAAGCCAGTAACTCAGTATCGGGTTGAGGCGCAGAGGGCAGCTGGGTACAGAGGTTTCAAGACATGTGGTTCAAAGTGGAGACAAGAACAGGGGAAGCAATGTGACATCGCATGGTGAGAGCGCTGCGGGAATCAAGCCCAAACCTTGTGAAGAGCTTTTGAACCAACAGTTGCAGCGCAGGAATCAGGCCCAGGCCGACCGAGCTTGGCCCAAGTCTCTCGGCGAAAATAAGAACTGCGGCTTGTGCACTCCTCAGCCATCCGAAGCCCTGAGCAGTACAAGGGGCTATTCAGGATGCCGGTTTTGCATTCGTCTACCCTTTCTACGCAGCACAGAGTTCTGTAAGTTCGGTCTGTCAGCACCACGACGGCCTGCAAGCAAGTCTTGGAATTGTCCGAGACATTGGCTAAGGGCACTACCTTCGCCTGCAACGATGGGTGTGTGATATCCTCAACCTTCCTGGGCGACGATCATTGTGACTGTTCCGGCTGCGAGGACGAAACCGCCTGGGATTGTTTCAGTTGCTCTTGCCCTACTAGATGCGGCCAATACACGAGCTGTCTCTCAAGCCCGGGCGGATACAGCCCGGGATACGGCAGCAGCGGAGACGGTGACGGGGATGGTGGCGGGAATCCCACGTGCAACGATGGCTGCCAGCTTACCTCCTACGACCTAAACAATGGCTACTGCGATTGTGCCGACTGTGAGGACGAAGCAGATTGGACCTGCGAGCTTTGTGCCGGAGGCTGTTCCGCAACTAGCTGCGCCTTCGAATTCAAGTGGTGCTCGTGGTTTCCAGGAATCTCAGCTGCAGCTGGTTTAGGGACTTACCATTGGAGCGGCAGCCTGTTCATGATCACACCGTCCTGCTGGACTTCCCTGCAAGACCCACCCTGCAGTGTGGACCAGTGGCTTCGAAGTTGATCTTCATTAAGGTGACAACTTTACTTGTGACGACGGTTGTGCCATCGACGGCACGAAGATCAACAACGGCTTTTGCGATTGTGGGCAGTGTGAAGATGAGGTGCCACTTCAAGAAGCCTTACAGCTTTGCTGACTCTTGTAGTTTTGTTAAGCTGTTTGGCATCTTTTCTGTGTATGTCTGAACCCTTCCTTGCTTGAGGTGCATTGGTCCTGCGAGGAGTGTGGCTGCCCTACAACCTGCGGCGAACCCGGCAAGCCTTGTCCTGCTGCTTGGACGATGGTTCCTCAAAGACTTGCAAGTTTGTGGGGTGCCGTTGTGGGTGATCAGTCCATATCGTGAAGTTCTGAGCATTGACACGCTTTATGGAGCAATTTAGCTTGTAGTTCGCCGTTTTGCATGGTCTTGTGCAGCAACGTGCTCATGTCGCACGCGTCCAGGATCCTCTGTAGGTCAATGTTTAACTGGCGTACCCCGGCCTCGAAGCCCATATGATCTGCCTGAGTCTGTGTATGCCTATGTGTATGCGTGCACGCTCTTCTTATAGTTTTTTGTTTGAGGGGGCGTGGTTTGCATGCTGGACGTCGCAGCAACGATTCGCCTGGCCACCCAGGTAAAGTTCGAGTGCAATGATGGCTGCACATTGCCAAACTCTACCAGGAACGACAACAAGTGCGACTGCACTGGGTGTGAAGATGAAGATCGATGGGATTGCACGACGTGTGACTGCCCTCCCACCCCGCTTGTTTGCGGAATAACAGGTATCGGATGCGGTCCAATAATAGCTGGAGATCTCTTCTTCGCCTGTGAAAGATGCTGGATTCCCTATGCACAGAAGGACGACGGGGAGTGCAACTGCGAGGAATGTGCCGCTTTATTTCTTTATTCATCATGTTTGCTGCGTGTTTGTTCCGTGGTCCGCGACTCGCTCGAACATGAATATCGTTGCCAAGGAAGATGAAGCAGACTGGACCTGCACCAGCTGTGGCGGCTGTCCCGACAAGTGTGGCCCGGGAGGATCTGCGGTTGTTTGCGTCCGGTGCACAGTCGAGGAGCACAATGTCCTTGTGAGCGACCCTCACTCCAACTGCCCCTCCCTCCCTCCCGCGCTCGCTCGCTCTCTCGCACCCTCTCTCTGTCTCTGTCTCGCTCTCTCTCTCTCTCTCTCTCTCTCTCTCTCTGCCTCTCTTCTTCTCTACCTCTCTACCTCTCTCAGGAATGAGCC